AAGAAGTTATTGAAGGAAAGACAGAGGGGCGGATAGAAGTGACCAGAAGACGAGGAAGAAGACGTAAGAAGATGCTGGATGACCTTGGGGACAGAAGAGGATATTTTCATTTGAAGGAGAAAGCTCTAGATCGCATCAAGTGGAGGAACTGTTTTGGAAGAGACTGTGGACCTGTCGTCTTGAGAGATTACTGATGAATGAATAGCATACTGTCAGAAAGCCTTCAATCCCCATCAGATATGTAGCTGCGTAGATTGTAAACCGGTCTGAGACAGCAACACAGACTTGTACTCATAAGGTTGCCAGTTCGAATCTCGGTTTTTTATCTTGACTGCGATTTATCGCGATGTCCCCAAATCTTCAAACCTCATACTGGGATAGTACTTTTAAATAGAATGGGCTTTCCTTTCAATCATTACCCATTCTGCATCAACTTCCTACAACATTAAAGAAGCACAGTCACCTTCTTTACAGGAGCTAGAACGGACACGTAGTAGCGCAGTTGGTTGAGGCACTATGCTAAAAGCCGGAAAGTCGCGGGTTCGATTCTCGATGTCATGAGATTTTTCAATTGATCTAATCCATGCAGCCGCACTATGGTCCTGGGGTCGATTCAGCCTCTAACAGAAATGAGTACCAGGAATCTTCCTGGAGAGTAAAGGGCGGCCGGCGCGTAAGGCTGACAACCTTACCGCCATCTGTGAGTGGATTGTCTAGAGAAAATGTGGGAGCCTCAACGTCTCACAACCCTATGGGCCTCCACGGCCTGTTACAGGGATAGCTTTACTTTTACTGGAGCCAGAACCCCGTGTGTGTCTTGGCTTGCTCCTGAAGATATTCCTGTCCATCGATCTCGTTTTGGATCCTTGCATATCAACGATTCTGAAATTTTTCTCCACGCAATCCAGCCACCTTAGGCTGGGTCTTTGAGCCCTCCGTATGCCTTTGGGTTTGGAAATGTTAGTTTCCTATATGGAGTTATCTCGTGTCCTCTGGTTAGGTGTCGTAGCCAAGTAAGCCCTCCCAGTTTGAGAGCCATATATAGTTACAGTAGCCATTAACTAGACAATGTGTCTAAACATTAACTCAATCAGACTTCGGAGAAATTGGTGTTGCGTCACTGCCACTAACAGCACGGTAGGTCGAAAAGTGGCAGGGTTCCACCTGCCTACACGGAAGAAGAACGTGGAAAACCCGATTCCTGTTGGTCCCAGGGGGCGCACAGCCCAGCAAGTCTGATATACTGCATCGAGAATCCATCATCTTCACAGGTATTCATACAATATTCAACAGAAGTTCCAGAATAATCTCGAAATCTTGATTAAATCATTGTCACGTTGCTCTTGGAAACTGATTTGCTTCTTAACGACCCTGTTCCCTTGGCAACACGCGTCACTGACTGAGGGCAGATAGCTCCAGCGTGTGAAATACAGATCGGAAATGACCTATTTGAGTACCACGAAGGGCCGGCCATTCACGTCTGTGGCACGTATTCCAAGTGCCATCACAAGATATTTAAGCCTATGATTTCTTCCCCCCTTGGCACTACAGCCCCAGTGGACCTAGGCCTACCTCCATGAACTTCTCCGTTCACTTCGGTTTTTCTAGATCTTACACATACGGTAGGACTCCTTGGGCGGGTGATCAGCTCGTCGCAAGGCCTCTAAAGCCTATGATTAGTCTACTTTTGTTCTATACGTTTGTTAAATGTGGTGTCTTACGTTGGGGGCCCGAGTAGACTGGTGAAGCTGTAACGCTCTAGACTTATATTCGGGCAGTGCTCGGTTCGTATCTCATCCGAGGCACCGACTATCCTTAGGTTCTTCGTGTATTTCTTCAGTCCCTCTAGGCAAATGCGAGATAGTACCTCGAGTATACCACGATCGCTTCCTTCCAATTCATAACCATCCTACCACCCGACGCTACATGTCGTAGATACTTTCAGCGTCGCAAATTAAACCATAAACCAGTTACGTCCGGGGAACAACATAAATTACGAGAGTTAAGGAGCGAAATATCGAGGAAAATATCTGCTCCGAAGAGAGATGAAGTTGTGTATCTTACGCAGAGGGGGACTTCATGGTGTATACAGATCACACAACATCGTCAGGGTTATGATAGACTTGATGTAGCTCAGAATGGGGAGACAAGAAACACAAACACAATTTTGCCAAGACTGAGGAAATACGATGATATTATTAAGAACGATCTTACATAAATTTGAAGAAAGCAGTCTTCTGGGATTTGGCACCGTGTATATGTGGTGTTAACCGACGTTTCGGAGGAACGTATCGCCTCCATCTTCAGGGTAGAAGGAAAATATAAGAAATCCGCAAGCTAAGAGGCGATACGTTCCTCCGAAACGTCGGTTAACACCACATATACACGGTGCCAAATCCCATAAGACTGCTTTCTTTATAGTCACCGCCGTGAAAGCCTCAAATCTTACTTACATAAATTTGTTATGAGGGTGGTAAGGATTGTACAGGGTCGTCTTCAACAGCAGACCTTTGCGGAAGTGGTGAACCTACCGGTTCTGTCACCAGAGAGCAATTCACTGTCTGTTCTTATTTCCTCCAGTTAATTAGCATATGTAACAATTCTAATTTATGCTTCAGCAGGGCCTTGCTATGGACTTCATGCACTCAGCATTACTTTCAGAATTCCAGTGAAAGTACCGACGCAATGTTCTTTAAAACAAAATGGCTGGCTTATATCTGAACTCTGAACATAATACAAGAAAAAAAATCTTATTTCTAACCCACATTTCCAGTGAACTCCAGTAAACTAACTCACTAAATGGAACAGAGACCTTGGGAAGCTGTCAGTCAGCTGGTAATGAAATTCTCAGCCTTTATGGAAATTATGGATTCATTATCATATTCACACCGGTCGATCCTATCTTGGGATAGCTAAATCCAGTGCAGACACTCACATCCTACTTCTTTAAGATCAATTCAGTTCTTATATTAGCAATTTACAGCAATTGCTTCCATCATGACCATAATGACAGTAACATAAAATGGATCAAGTAATACAACCTCTTTTACAGCTCTGAGAATGTAAGTTCAACTGCTAATTGGTTAAGACCTGAGTATCTGACGGAGGTATTTATAAAAGTTATTGTCTTCTTGGATGTGATATCGTATAGTCTGGTAGACGCTTACCGACGCCTTCAGAAATGTTGGTAAACATCTACTGGACTGATATTATCAGTTCTTAATCGGTAAATAAGCGGTACAAGTCCATCAAGTGTTAGTTTTCCTTGTGATTGATTAATTAATTAAGCACCACGCCATGAAGACAGGGGGGAGAGGACCTCGGCACTCGAGTATATGGAGATGAATGGTCAGCTTCACGCCCCGGTCACTTTACTCCGAGGGAACTAGCCCCCGGTACACATTGCATAGGAGGCCGAGAAAATCTTGCCCCTGTCGAGAATCGAACCCCGGCCGTCCAGCCCGTAGCCCGTCGCTATACCGACTGAGCTATCCCGTAAAAATGTTTGTCTTTCTATATTTCGGCAATTATTGGCCACCATGAGAACGCACAGCTTGCACTACAAGATAAAACATTTAGTTAACCCTGATAAATCAGTTATTATTGATGGACTTCTGCTTATTTGCGTATTAAGAGGCGTAACGGTTCAAGATGTATCTTGTTAAGAAGCTTACTTGAATTTCAACTCCTAACTTTCAAAATTGAAACTACGTTGACGACTGGCCTCAGATGGGGAAGAAATCCACAAAACAATCTTAAACCTTCCTCAAGTTACTTATGTGTAAACTGATAGCAAGCACCTGACTGGCAAGACAACGTTCTTCTAGCGTAAAATGTCGTCTAGTTTGGTAGGTGGGTATCAACGTTTCGGAGTAACCTGTTAGGCTATGGAGGCAGCAGATTCCTCCGAATATATGGCATTCAATTACCAAACTGAAAGGCATCACATCCGCAACATACCGCAATCTAAGTTAAGAGGACCATTTCTGCTTGCTGACTGAGTAATTAAACTAGAACCTTCTCAAAGAAAGAAGAAACCCGCGTCTGTTAGATACCTCGTATCATGGTTATGAGCTGCCTGTTGGGGGTTGGAGTCCAACTAGGTCCACTCGGCACGGCGGCCACTGTTTGGCCTATTGTAGCCTGTCCAGGGTGATTATGACGATAGAGAATTTGGTGGAATATAGATTGGTAGGGGGAAACCGAAGTTCTCGGAGAAAACCTGCCCCAGCGCCACTTTGTCCACCACAAATCCCACTTGGCTAGACCCGGGCTCGAACTCGGGCCGCCGCGGTGGGAAGCCAGCGACTAACCGCTTGAGCTATGGCGCGGCCAGCTGCCTTTTACTATGCTCATTATCACTGTTTCCTCTTCAAGAAATTCTTCGTCGCTACTTAACCTGCAGTCACGAAAAGAAACTGACTTTGGACAACTTATATGTCTGCATTACCTTATATTTCTGTGCCAACGATTTTAATCTTCCTAATGTAAAGGTCCCATCGAAATTTATCCAGACATCTCCACAAACCTACACTTGTCTGTCTCGTATTCATTTCTCATCCATCTTATTTACCCTAGATCTCAAGTTTCTACATGTGTTTTTTTATTGTGAAAAGGAATTGTAAATACAAAAACCCCCTAGGCAATGCCCATCCTGCCCTCTGCAGCACATTCTTATAAACATCTTATTCTATCTTAGTATATATCTTAACTTAAATCTCAGAATATACTATTATTATTTTGTACATTTACTTCTTTATGTACATGTGGAGGGAATCTGACAATTAACGCCATCTATCAGCTACTGCGAGTAACTACGTTCTCTGTCAATATACGATGTACACATCAACAGTCTCATATTATACGAGTATATAAAATTTCTACTATGTCCGTCTCTCTCTCTCTAGTAGCCATGAATATGAACCATGATATTAAGTCCTTCCGTCAGTTCTTATACAACAGACATTTATCGCTACATGGTGAATTCTGTTCTCCAACAGCTGACGGGGATCGCCGTTCTAGCCGTGGGAATATGGATGGTGGTGGAGCTCTACAAATACATGGAACTCTCTACCGAGTTCTCTGCAACTGCACCCTATGTACTCATAGGGACTGGTGCCCTCATCATCCTTGTGGGGTCCCTGGCCTGCTGTTGCACCGTCAAGGGACAGCCTGTGCTCCTCTACGTCGTAAGTAACAAGATATAGTTTTGCTTGTAGTTCTGGAGCTCAAAGAAAACATGTACCTTGTGAACATGAAGCCTTCTATGCGTTCCTTCTGAAAAATGTATTTCAAGTGGGGAAATTGTATCTATCAGCATGTTTCCCCATGAAATTGCTGAAGAGGTTTCAACTATGAGATTTATACTTTTAATGGGGTGAATATTAATATTACAGTCCTCTGGGAGGTGATATCGTGTAGTCTGGTAGATATATCTACACAAATAATAGAGAGGGTAGGTACTTCATAAACGTTGGTACCTATCTAACAAGCTATACGGCTTCATAATACAGAAATCTAGTCTTAGGAATTCAGTCATATTTGATAGTCCTACTAGATATGTTGAGGTTCCCACATTTTCTAGAAAATCTGCTCATAGACGGCGGTAAGGTTGTCACCCTTACGCGCCGGCCGCCCTTCACCCCCAAGAATATTCCTGGTACTCATTTCTGCTAGAGGCCGAGTCGACCCCAAGGCCATAGTGCGGCTGGAAGGATTAGGTAAATTGAAAAAAAATCCACCTCATCGGGATTCGATCCCGCTACCTTGCGGCTTGTAGCATAGTGCCTCAACCAACTACGCTACAACCATATGGGCCTGCACGGCCTGTTACAGGGATATCTTTACTTTACTAGATGTGTACATTAAAAGCCGTAGAAAGATTTACGTATGGACATGAGATTCTGAACTTGGAATGTCAGAAGTTTGTATAGGTCAGGTTCGCTCAGGGCAGTGGCAGAAGAAATCTTAAAATGTAAGTTAGATTCATAAGGAGTACAGGAGGTCAGATGGGATGGAGGTGGCACCGCACCACCAGGAGACTATACATTTTTCTATGGAAAGGGGAATGAAAATCATGAATTAGGTACAGGTTTTTTCGTACACAATAGAATCGTATCAGCAGTTAAGAGGGCAGAGTTCGTTAGTGATAGGATATCATATATAATACTAAAAGGTCGCTGGTGTGATATCATCGTTATGAATGTTCACGCCCCAACATAAGATAAAACTGATGACATAAATAACAGGTTCTATGAAGAACTAGAACATGTATTTGATAAATTCCCCAAGTACCCTATGAAAATTTTGCTAGGAGATTCAATGCCCAGGTAGGGAGGGAAGACTTTTTCAAAGACAAAATTGATGAGATTGCAATGAACAGTAAGGACAAGAACATTAGAGACCTGTATAGAGGAATAAATGACTTTAAGAGGGGTTACCAACCTAGCAGTAACTTAGTGAAGGATGAGAACGGTGATCTGCTTGCAGATTCCCAGAACATTTTGAATAGGCGGAGGAAGTACTCCTCCCAGTTACTGAATGTACATAGGGTCAGTGATGTTAGGCAGACAGCAATGCACACAGCTGAGCTACGAGGTACAACAACATATAGGCCGCAACACGCATATACGAACAGTGCAAATTTCGAACAAAAGAAGTTACTGCAACAGTGTTTATCTGAAGGCGGAAATAAGTCATCGGATTTGTTCACAGATCTGCGTGATGCTCTGCAAATATTCCGTTTTGGTCTCTGACCAAAAAAACAAATTCTGGAAGTGAACTGTGGTCGTTCCATCCCGGATGAATCCACACTCAGGAAGAACTACCTTTGCCAGTGCTACAACAGTATCCTGGAAACGATTAGGAATAAAGTGCGTGGGAAGAAGATTTTCGTTTCCATTGATGAGACCTGCGATACAGAGGCTCGCTACGTGGCAAACGTCATCTTTGGAACCTTGGAAATTGGCGGACCAGGTGAAGTGTTTCTGCTTACGAGTGAGCATTCCACAATTTGTAACCTCTTCGACAGGTCGATGTTTCTACTGTGGCCAGTGGGTATACGGCACGACGTCTTGATTTTTGTGACCGATGCAGCCTCATATATTGTAAAAGCAGGCAAGTCAATAAAGTCGTTTTATACGAAATTGGTGCACGTTACTTGCCTAGCATATGCACTGCATAGTGTGATGGAGGAAGTGAGATAAAAAAATTTCCCCAAGTGGATGCTCTCGTGTCGTGGACGAAGATTTTCGTCAAGGCTCCAGCTCGTAAAATGCAGTTTAAGTCTATGGCTCCTGGTGTTCCACTGCCCCCGGAACCCGTCATCACAAGTTGGGGAACGTGGATTGATGCTGCAGTTTACTATTGCGATCATTTTCAGGTAGTGAAGAACACTGTAGATTCAATGAAGACGGAGGATGCGAGGGCAATTGAAGCTGCTCAGGAACAGTTCTCGTGCAGCGAAATGGAAGGACAGCTGGCCTTCATAAAGGCAAATTTCAGTTCCTTGACGGAAAGAATTAAATGCTTACTGGAGAAAGGAGCAACACTAGAAGATTCGCTAGCTCTGCTGAAAAAAATAACCAGTGATTTGGAGAAAGTGTCAGGGGACATTGGTAAAATGGTGTCAAGAAAAATGAAAAGTGTTCTGGATAAAAACTCAGGTTATGAAACATTATGCAGCATTTCTCGAATTCTGTCAGGAGAGTCCTTCAGCGCTCTCAGTACTGAAGAAGAACTTACTGCTAGTGATCTGGTACACTTCAAGGACGCTCCCACTGTGGCTGCAGATGTGGAAAGGAGTTTCTCCAAGGACAAGAATGTGCTGTCGGACAATACGCGCTCTCTCACTTTCGAGAATCTCCGCATGTTGACCGTCATCTACTGCAACTCTGAATGCGGTGGCACTTAAATGTTCGAATGCATACCGCATGTGTACATTTGATACGCATTCTAACACGATAGAAAAAATCGTATTAAAACAAATGTTCTCCAAGTATAATTAGAATGATCAAGTCAAGGAGGATGAGGTGGGCAGCTCATGTAGCACGAATTGGGGAGACGAGGGATGCGTATAGGATATTGGTGGGAAAGCCAGAAGAAAACAGACCACAGGGAAGACCAAGGCGTAGGTGGGTGGACAATATTAGAATGGATCTTAGAGAGATAGGATGGGATGTCATGGATTGGATAGATCTGGCTCAGGATAGGGAGCAGTGGAGGGCTCTTGTGAACACGGTAATGAACCTTCGGGTTCCATAAAGTGCTGGGAAATTCTTGAGTAGCTCCTGAATTGGCGGTTCCGCCAGAAGTGCTCAGCTCCATGAGTAAGTAAGTAAGTAAGTAAGTAAGTAAGTAAGTAAGCAAGTAATAGTAGATTTCCCATGACATGACGTTGCAGGTCGTTTTTTAACTTTTAGATAATTTTTCTGGATTTTTTCGGTCAGTTTTAAAATATTTCAGGTCATCAAAATCTGGGCCCTGGTGATAACACTCTAATGGTTACTGTAACTACGGCACATAAAATACAGATCTGTCTTCCGTCTTCTGTCTTGAATCGAGTCTATGTTACGACCGACGGTCAGTCGGCCAGTCTATCTTGGATTGAAGCACCCATCTGGGGCTTACATCCAGATCTTTACTACTGTCAGACATTTGCGGGTTTCACGTGGAGCGTTCTCTCTGACGAGAGGACGGTCTGTCGTTTACAATTGTTGCTGGTCCTTGCCAGCGCAGTCATTTTCGGGTCTGAGTCCCGTGGTATTCGCGACCATATTTTACTGTCTCAGGTTCGAGACTTCCCTTTTTGTCGCCTTCCTCTTTCTTCTGTCTTCTCTCTGACTTCTGGTTGTAACTGTCAGGCGGCCGTGGGGGCAGACACCCCCTCCAAGGGTGTCACTTTGCGTATTTCTCTTTTAAGAAATCGATACTGTGCAACCTCTGATTCGTTGCTGTCGTTATCGGCAGTGAACCATAGTAACTAGAACCGTTGCGCAACAATGGACAGCTATTCCTGACGCTAATCCTGCTAATCGTTTCCTAGAAACGACCCAATCTGTTACAATAATCTTCTTGTTCACCACTATTTGTCACCTTATTGGCTTCTACTGTTGTATCTTAGTTAAACTGATCGTTGTACTGGCCTTTCTTCGATGAGAAATGCATACAAAGATGTAAAAGCAAACCCCGAAGAATAAAGAGTCTTTGGGAAACCAAGGCGTAAAAAGAGAATAACACTAAAATGAATCTCAATAAATAAAATGTAAGAGTGTTGTCTAGGTTTATCGGGCTTAGGATAATGTTGCGTGGCGGGTTCTATACTGAAGAAGGGTGAAAATTACGGTTCCACAAAAGGTATGAAATGCCATGAATAGGCAAGCGACTGTCATCTTTTCAAGATAAATTATGCTCCATGAAGTTAGCTTAATTTTTTTCTTTTCGTCACGCTACAAGTAGCGACCCGAATGCAACGCCTCAGAGACAATGCGACTCATCTCTCGTGCCCATGTTGTGATGACGTATATACTAAAAGCGAAAGTAGCAGAGCAATCAGATCCTGTAGCACATTCATTAGTAACGGTGTCTGGAATAGCGGCTTTCATAGAAATCATAATTCTCGGTGCGTAAATCACATGTCATATGAGCAGCAAAAGTTCCTGCATTTATTAAAGTGTCGTAAAGCAAATTAGTAACATAAAAACACATATGATCATAACTAACAAACATGCTTAAGTGTAATGTCTGTTTCTATGTACTTACTTACTTACTTACATACTGCTTTTAACGTTTGGTTCCTTTAATATTCGCTTTTATACAATTCGTGATGAATCCGACTTCCACCGTTGACTGGGCATAGTTAACTCCTACAAAGTGAACTCTTTTATGGTTTTATTGTTTTGTCTGATTTTGTGTTTATACCTGACTGATGATGGTCATTTAATGACAAACACATAATGGCTACTACTAAAAATACACTCCGTTGCCTGTAGTCCGCAAGCGAACTATACCGACCGAGCGACCGCCGCTTGTTGGCGAAGTTAGCGCCAACTTTAGCGAATAGAGGGTGTCGCGTGGTCAGCGCAACGAAACCCCACGGCCGTTAATTTCGGTTCTCTAGACCGGATCCGCTATTTCCTTGAAATAGCTCCTGAATTATCCTCTCGAGACTGAGTGGACCCCGTTCCAGGCCCACTACTTCTAAAAAAAGTCTGGTAGCGCCGGAAATCGAACTCTGACCACTAGACCACAGAGGCCGTCTGAAATTATGCGTACGGAGATGACATACAGCATGGAATCGTATTGAATTCAGGATAGCCAATCTCCAAGCCGAGATTTTAACCTGGGCCCTACCGAATACGAAGCAGTAATATTGCCCACTCGATGACGAATCTGGGCTTGGACACTCTGCTTAATCACAACCACATTTAACACACTTAACGCTGCTCTCGCTTGCCCCACGTGCCCTTCAAACTGGATACATTTTAAAGTAGAAAGGCTATTCAGAAATTATAATAGGTTCTTACGTTACGGGTTAATAATTTTAACCTTAGCTGCTGTCGTAGTAACTCTTTTCGGAAGATAAACATTTCTAATTTCGAACAGGTTACAAAAAAATCTTAAAATAATTGTTTGTTTTTTCCATCTTCTCCAAATAAATAATTCGACAATGTTTAAAAGGGGTTACAGCTGGCTGCTTCCAAGCCCGTGTCCTCTAGACACTCATAATTAGCTACATAATTGGATTTATGAAACCATTACAGTTGAAATAACGTCCTCAAATTATCTACATAATCGCCACTCAAACTGCACTCTACAAAGTTTAAAGTGGCAACGCGCGCCATCTCTAGACATTAGGATGAGTTACAGCAATCCAGCTATATGATACTACCACAGATGGCACGACCATCTGGGAGTTCATCTCAGCAACTAGATCCACCCGTCGTCGACTACAACCAACTACATACAGATTACCTTAGTCTTGTGCGTAAGCATTGCGCAATGATTCTGTGCATACAAGAGGGACATAAGAGCCCTATATACATCGAGTAGAAGGCTGTAGGAACCAAATTATTCTGAGCTTGATGGCGTAAAAAATATATAGCTGTGGTAGTAGTTAACAAAATTAGTGACATGTTTTGTTAAATATGGGACTGTAGACCTTATTTGATATTGTAACGGCTTTGATCAACACATTTCTAGGAAACGGCTCCGTAAACACATTCAAACATGTAACAATGGGAGCTGTGTTCTCAGTAGACGAATTTTACGGCTAGTTACTAGGCAGCAGTCAGCGCGCCAATAAACTAGCTGTATGGCGATCACGTGGTATCACCTACAGATGCGTCGCGCAACAATAGAGGAAGCCGTGTTTTCTGCATCGTCCGTGCCGCGTCTTCATAACGGCGGTGTGTTTGCATCTGAGATGAAAAATCCCGTGTGGAGGCGAGATCGAATACCTCCACCGTATCCCTGCGAGTCGTAGGAGGCGACAAAAAGGGGAGTCGCGATTCTGTGACAGTAAAATGTGGTCGCGAGTCCCACGGGACTCGGACCCGAGATGATTGATTACGCTGGTGAGGACCAGCAGCAATTGTAAACGACAGACCCGTCCTCTCGTCAGAGAGAGCGCCCAATGTCAACAAACCCGCAACTGTCAGACAGTAATAAAAATCTGGTAGTAAGTCCCCAATGGGTGCTTTATTCCAAGACAGACTGGCCGACTGACAGTCGGACGTAACATAAGACTCAGACTCAGCTGAGACAGGATAAGTTGAGTACATAGTACTGAGTCAAAACTAGAAAGACTGGAGATAGGCTGGCGATAAAATTGGAGAACTGGGTGGAGTTCTGGAGAATCGGTCGTCCAAGGTGATTGAACAAGAAGGGGCGAGAAGACTTCGTAGTGATTTGAAGTGACAGTTTCTGTGTTTAGATCCGTTGCCAGGCGACGACTAATGGAAACTAAGAATCCTAGTGCGTGTACAACGGTGAACTGGGAAGTGTTGAAATCACCGAAAGCGCTGTACTGACTCTAATTAAGGGAGATTGTACCCGAAGTGCCAATAAATCCAATCATCTGATTTAGAACCCGTTAGCCCAGTATTTTCGTCAAGCGTATCCCTCTACACGCAACAATATTAAGAAAACGCGATCTATGCACTTTCCCTATTTCACCCCAATTAGGCGAAATGACACTAATATGAGCTGAGAAGAACATGTTGATACCACAAGTGATTTACTTCTTCCTCTCTGCAACCCTGAAACAAGTGCCATTTGTGGAACGCACCAAGTTACACAGCTCTGCACAGAGACGTGAGCCCGTCGACTTCTCCTCTGAGGAATAAGACAATAGTACATTTACGCCATGACCGCCTCTGTGGTCTAGTGGTCAGAGTTCCTGGCTACAGGTCCAGAGGTCCCGGGTTCGATTCACGGCGCTACCACATCTTCGGAGAACTAGTGTGTCCGGAATGGGGTCCACTCAGCCTCGTGAGGATAACTGAGGAGCTATTTCAAGGAAATAGAGGCTCCGGTCTATAAAACCGAAATTATCGACCGTGGGGATTCGTTGTTCTGACCACGCGACACCCTCTATCCGCTAAAGTTTGCACTAACTTCGCCGACAAGCGGCGGTCGCTCGGTCGATATAATTCGCTTGCGGACTAAAACCACGGATTTTTTTTTGTATGGTCTTATATGAAGTAGGCTTTGTCGTGGATCAGTGTGTTTAAGAATCAAAATTGTCCGTGAAATGTTCGTGAATCTTCGACGTCGAATTCAGAAAAATATGTTAAACGACTCAGGTGCTGGTCTTAGGACACAGGGATACGGATATAACCTCAAAATTGGGCGTTCTTTTTATTAAAAAAAAAACTCCCTACATTACCGGGTATTACCTCCATGCTCCTGTACGATTTCGTGGACACGAAGGGCAAATATCATTTTTATTTTATCTTATAATTTTTCAACTCAATTTATCTTCCCGAAAATGCTTTAACGCAAACAATTGTCCATAAAAGGCCATTGTACCAGCTACAAAGCAAAACTGTGCTTCGTTGCACAAGAAAGGATCAAATATTGTAACTTTTTCTCTGGTATAAAGCAAAAGGTCGATACATCAAAGCGTTTTGGTGTCCTCTAGGTCACCTACCGGTCTTCACGGACACCCAGCAGGAGCAACATAACCTCTCATACCGTCCCCTTATTTTCACACTGAAAGCGTTCAGACATGCATGCGGTAGCGTAGTTGGTTGAGGTACTATGCTTACAAACCGTAAGGTCGCGGGTTCGATTTCCGATGAGATCACTGGCTTTTTAAATTGACCTAATCCTTCCAGCCGCACTATTGCCCTGGGGTCGACATAGCTTCTAACAGAAATGAGTACGAGGAAGGTTCTTGGAATGTTCTTGGGGGTAAAGGGCGACCTGCGCGTAAGGCTGACAACCTCACTGCCATCTATGAGCTGACTGTCTAGAAAACGTGGGAGCCTCGACGTCTCACAACCCTATGAGCCTTCATGGCCTCTTACGAGGAAAATAAAAAAGAAACATGTATTTCCGGCGACTAAACTTCTATGGAGATATACGATTATTCTAATTTCAATTTTGCGTGTACATCGAGAGAACTTTGTATGTGAAGCTCGAAGAAATAATAACCAATGCTTTCTCCTAAACTGTGTCTACAATGTCTTTGATACTGCGTCCTCATCAGAGAGTGACGTACCTAGTTACGTCATTACTAAGTTACCGTGTAATCTTGTAGGCAGATTTCTACTTCTTGGAGGAACATATCTCCGTCCTTAGGCTGGAGTAGGTGGGGTGAGGAATTGGAAGGGTTATGAGGGAGACTACGTGGCTGTCACTCAGACCCACGGGAGGGGACAGAAGCTAGGGGAGACCGGTTCGGGCCAACAGGAGCGGTAAAGAGGGAAACCTTAGTTTTCAGGGCCACAATCCTGGGGATCAAATACGTTCCTCCGAAACGTCGTTACCGCTGCAAGATGTCACACCCCAGACGACAAAATACACGTATAAGAGACTGAAACTTGGCGGTGGTCAAGCTTACGGCAGTTCAAGTGACCAAGCTGCAGCTGTGGGATAAGATACGTAAGCAAGACATGATCTGCTCTGTAAAGCCTGGACTGACAGAGGACTTGTGTATATTGCAAAAGGAAGAATTCCAATAACGTGCTACATGTGCGATACGCACGCTTGACGAAAGGCCGAGCATGTTCATAAGAGACAAAGCCATCTTCTCGTCAGAGAGGACGTTACATAAGGGCTATGACCGCAAGGGTTCATTTGCAAAAAAAAAAAATTGTGGTCATGAGTCTCGAGAGGCTTGGCGTCATGACGAACTGACTAGCGGAAAACCACCAATCCCAAATTAACTTTGACTTTGACTAACCCAGAAGACAACAACCTGAACAATCACTGCCGTGAAAATCTTAAATTAGCAATGAAGAGTGAAATTTGGAATGTCGTTAATTTATCAGTGACCCACTATTCATTTTGTTTCAGTATGGAGGCTTCCTGCTGGTGATCTTCATGCTGGAAATAAGCGCCGGAGTGTCTGTCTACGTGTATCGAGAGAAGCTCCTGGAAGGCTTTGACAAGGGACTCAGCCAAAGTATTGCCACTTACACGACGGACCACGAGAAAGCCAGCGACTTCGACCTCATGCAGTCCACGGTGAGTACGGTACATCTGAAAGCACACGTTTCAAGAGCGCTCCCAGTTCGATGTTACGGGTTTGCAAAACTGAACTACAGAAACACCCGTATAATGGTGGCATACCTTTATCGGAAAATTGATCATGTTTCGTGAATGAAGGGACGCAGTACACGAAAACCCTTAAACGTGGAGAAACATACAAGTATAAAGGTAAAGACAGAGGAGATGCCTTCCTGCAAAATTCCGGTTGGCTGTCAGTAGACTATACGGCGTCACATCCCAGAACTCTTCATAGTCATTGCTGTTAGAACCTTAAGTGAAACGTCTTGGGGTTGGGGGAGTTGATTACCCTAACGTTGTGGCATACCTTCGTGGTGTAAGGGCTGACAAATATATTTAATAAGCTCGACTGAATTGTCGTGTTTGTTTTGTATTTGTTTCACTGAACTCAGTCGGTACAAGGACGAGCTAAGGGATGCATTACTGGGGTTCGACTCCCTGCAGGGGAAAGATTTTTCTCTTCTCCACGGCGTTCAGACCGGCTCTGGGGCCAACTCAGCCTCCTAGTCAATGAATACAAGGGGCTGTATCCCCGGGGGTAAAGCGGTTAGGCGTGAAGCTAACCACCCACTTCCATCAAGTGCCGCGTTCAAGAATGGTGGAGCTATCCCTCCACTCCCACATACGTCTTCATGGCATAGTACTTAATTCATTTAGCACAGGGAAAACTTTAACATTTTATACTGGATGCAGTAAATTGTGCTGTAACATCCAGGCGCTTGGAGCCCCGGGTGCGAGTAGTGTCTCGCATGTCCGTAGTAACCGTCTTCACACACACACACACACACTAGCGGGTCCTTCAGGTTTTCCAGCTAGAATATTCTGTATGTTGTTGCGTTAGGGGAATTTCACTGTCTATTGCTACCGACCTCTGGACATGGTATAAAAGGCTTGACCTTTAAGGCCTATATACATATCCTCATAATGGAAGTTGAAAATGATTTCCGTGAAGACAATCTAAGAGACTTCCTCGCAGCTACTGCCTTTGTCTTGTTTCTGAATAACCCGACATAATGAAAACTGTCAAGACGAGGGGCCTTATAGTTCACCTGAAGTACGCTTAGCCTGGTGGCTGAGAAAGTCTCGCTAAACAAAACACAACCATACACACATTCGGGGAACTACATGTTTCTAAGATTCAAGGTGTCATAGCGGTGGTCACGAAGAGTACTATAGTCTGGATATAGCGCTGAGTAATCTGTTGAAGGTCAACAGATGTTTCGGAGGAATGTGTCGCCCCCATCTTCAGGTTGGAGTTGCTGGGCTTGTCACGTGCTTTCATGCTGGTATCTTGTTCGGCTTATTAGAGCCTGAAGATGGAGACGACACGTTCCTCCGAAACATCGGTTTACTTTCAACGGACTACATGGCGCTATATCCCACAAGACAGTGCACCGGATGTCTCTTCGTTTGACAATCGTGTAGCGCTTCTGCAGCAAGGAGCAATTCAGTGCCGCCATGTTCTAACCACTCTGAAAGTGGCCAATCAGGATACAGCTGTTACATGATCATGACTGAATTCCCTAAAAGTCCGTTTAGCGCTATATCACGGAGACTGTGATTCGTGAGCAAGTTGAGCAATTTGCGAATGATTTAAACGAAACAAAAGCTAATATTCGGAAATTTAATTTAATTATTGATAATATTGTGACATGGCAGCTGAGTGACCGGAATAGTTGAGCTAGAAGAAATGGCCGTTGCTATGGAACGGCCGATAAACACGTGTCAGCGGCAATGTACACGTAGCGCCACAATAGAGAACTGCTGGAAACTGCGTTTCTAATGTGTCCGCCCCGAGGCTGCAAAGCGAGCATGAAGATAGAATAAAAATCATGGTCATGGATCTCAAGGAGACTGAAGCCAGGAATGACTGTGCTGTCGAAGACCGGCAGCAATTTAACCGACCCACCGATAAACCGGCAACTTATTCAGTCGAGAATGTGAGGACATTAGAGCCATGGGCTAGGCGCGAGACAATCACCAGCCGGCAACAACGGAAGCAGAAAACATTGTTGGGATATGTTACCAGCCAACGATGGGTGAAGACAGAGCAGACTGAGAAGGGTTAGTGCATGTTGTAGTGAATCGTAAAATGTGTGGATTAGCGATAGAATTATAATTACTTGCAGTTACGATTTATAAGAGTCCACTAAATTCACTAACCAATCTAAAACCCGTCTGAAGTCACTAAAATCGCGATAATATATACATTTAACCCAAATAAGGGGCCCAAACTCATGCGCTGTAACACGACTGTAAGCTACAGACTGAAACTGGACAATTCTGTACCGTCATCTTATGCGTTGTATATAAAGAATTTCTGAAAAGAAGTTCTGATGCCTACTTCCTCTCAGTGATGTTCAGGCCATATTCTGAGGGTGACCAGAGCTAGAAATTGCAAAAATATGCAGTTAAACGATGCACTTCCGTTCAAAACTCGAACTGATACGGATCCCACGAGACCAACGAAGTCTCGCACCGTTGCCAAGTTGGCAATTGCATAGAAATGGCTCACACAGATTCATAAACGTACTTACAAAAGTCTGTTTATGATCTGTCTCCAGCTTTAATGGTTCATTATTTACTGCTGTCACACTGAAAGTTAAGCAATCTTACTCATTTCCCGCGGTCATTGTGATCTTTAGACCTGCAGATTTTAAAGCATTACCTTAAAACAGATGAGGTCGGAATAGCTCAGTCGGTATAGTGAAGGGCTGCTGGCTGGACAACCGGGGTTCGTTCCCGGCGAGTTAAGAGATTTTTCTTTTCTCCACAGCGTCCACATCGGCCCTGGGGCCCAACCAGCCTTCTATCCAATGGGTACCGGGAGCCCTACACCTTGGGGTAAAGCGGCCGAAGCATGGAGCTGACCACTCAGCCCCATGTAGTTCCCAGGTCAAGAATAGTATACCTTTAGTCCCCCATACGTCTACACGACGTGATGCTTAATTAGTTAAGCACAGATACAGCTTTTCCATTTAAAGTGCTATGATGGTGTACCTGCCCAGCCAGCTCGAAAACAGAAATCATTCTCGGTTCCATGTCGGGGAATGAAATGTAGCTCTCCTTTCAATGTTTCCTTAGAAAGCGAAACGCCACTGGAATACTCTGTGTTGTCTTCTCGTCATTTCGATATTTATTGGGAAGGACACTGAGATGTATCACTAGGTTAAGCGTTACGGACTAATTCAATTAACGCTTACAATTTTAAGTCACCCCCCGTTTCTCTCCTCTTTCGCTTCATTCAGTAAAGAGGGCCAATGGAAAGAAGCCCGGAACAGTTACCAACATTTTCTGCGCGCTTCGGCATACAATTAGCCTGCTGGGAGAGCAGCACTGCTTACAACTCTATACGTTGGGTTGCCTAAGAAAGGGGAACAAATTTTATTTTGAAGAGTTCAGTTCTCTGGGATATAATACGGTGAAGTCCGTTGAAATCAACGGACATTTTGGAGGAATATTTCGCCTCCATCTTCGGGGTCGAAGAATAAGCCAAGCAAGAAACCAGCGTGAAGGCAGGTGGCAAGCAGAGAAACGTCGTTGACTTTCAACGGACTACACGGCGTCACATCCCAAAGTCAGAACCTTCAAATCACCACTGTGAGAATCCCAAATCCTCAAATCTTAATTCCTTGTGGAGGCAGGTTCGATTACCTCCACCGTAGCCCTGTGAGTCGTAGGAGACGAAGAAAGGGAACCCAGTGCCTGGGGGTATAACGGGGTCACCCTGTTCCTGGGGGATATAAATATGGGCCCTGGCTCTGTAGGTTGGGGGAGTCTCGAATCTGAGAGAGTAAAATGTGGTCATGAGTCATGAAACATGACTTCCTCACCATTCTCTGCCCCGCCTGGTTAACCAAGGCTTCCGTTTTACTAGTACCTCTTTCTCCCTCGCTCGACTGGATAGGAGGTTGCCCAACAAAACTCATAGATTTTAATCAGATGTGCATTTCTGGTACTAGTGCCGAGGTCAAGAATACTTGTATCTATACACCCACTCTGCCCATCACAGTGGCCGCGCGGTCTGAGGCATGAAGAGTCTTCGCTCGCTCGAACGCTGGGATCGTAGTTTCGAATCCCGCTCAAGGCATGGATGTCTGTGTGCGTTTATTCTGCGTTTGTGTTGCTCCGTGTGTAGGTAGAGGCCTCGAGACGTGCTGATCCCCCGTGCAAGGAGTCCTACCGACTGTGTATAGAATCAAGAAACTGAAAAAGCGGCCAAGGTCCAACAAATGACTGTAGAGCCACAGAGAGATATGCAACCACTGCCCACGCGCTTCATTACGCCTAATTAGTTAAGCATAAGATAACCTTTGTCGGTAGTCAACGATTTTTTTCGTTAAGTCATATAATCTTCATGTAATATACATGGCACATGTATATTTGCCGTATCACGGGCATATTGTCACGTGACCAGACACGGGGTTTGGAGTGTTAATTGGATTTATTTGACCCTTATAACTCGTAATTACAGAAGATTGCAACACTCTCGCTAATTTACATGATCTACAAATCACAACAACTACGGCCCACACAAAGTTTTCTGTTTCTTATTCTGCTGTCAGTAGTCGTTGCTAGATAACGGCTGCTAACAATGGAGATTCTTCATGGTCAACTGCGAACTGTCACTGCTCCTTGTAATTCGCGACTACTAACCGCGGACTCCGACATCCGCGTATTATTTCGCTAAAAACAACGATGCCTTAGAGACCAGCCTTGTCCCCATCATCAGGATCTGACTTTAGTAATTAAATTACATTTTAGTAGGAGAATTTCATTCATTCCTATATTTTTCAGCCATAACGACACTAGCGCTGTTGTGAGCGGAACTATACTAGGTACCATTCGAGTGCAGAGTCAGGGTAAGTGAATGAAACAGGGGCGATTGGACTTTATAATTTAGGATTTATTGTGGAGGAACAGCTTCTGGATATGAAAGCTGCGAGTATACTGAAGAATGAATCACGGACAACAGAAAATGGGTAAGTACCCAGTTTTTGCATTGAGTAAGAGCTAAAAACTCCTAACCATATTATCATGTTTCCTAACATTGCACAAGGACTCGGGATTCGCTCGGCCATGGCGGGCTCCACTGAACACTGCAATGAAACTCCGAATTCCATATATAAAATAAAAGATGAGGAAATTCTTGATCAGCTAAGCGACTGTCGCTTTCTCAAGACGTTCTCCGATACTTGCAATTATTATTATTATATGTCTCATTTTACAAATTTTCGGAAAGAGTGTGTCGCGTGGTCAGCGCAACGAATCCCCACGGCCGTTAATTTCGGTTTTCTAGACCGGAGCCGCTATTTTTCCATTCAGGTAGCTCCTCAGTTATCCTCACGAGGCTGAGTGAACCCCGTTCCGGACGCACTACTCAGAAAATCTGGTAGCGCCAGATAAGCGGCGGTCGCTCGGTCGATACAGTTCGCTTGCGGACAACAGACCACGGAATTTGTTCATATTTGTATATTAGTGCGCACTAACAAAAGCGCCTTCTCTTCCAGCTCCACTGCTGCGGCAACAAGAAGTACGAGGACTGGTTGAATTCCTCCTACCACCGGGTGCCGCCGTCATGCTGCATTCACGAGGGGTGTAAAACGGACGATCCAGATGCCATCTACAAGCAGGTACGAGACTAAACTGGAACCGCAAGTACAAAGGCGGAGTGAGTGAATTCGTTCAGGGGCCGTTTATCCATAACTTCACTATTTTTAGCTCATATTTCTACGTTGTTGTTTGCGACGTATAGACTCAACTACCAAAATATTCACGACTCCCTTTTCCTCGGGATTTGGCCAACAAGTCTGAAGTCACGCTCCGCCACTGTTTATTTCTGAAACTACGCTGACAGATTTCCTGTTATTTCACTGTCTGACCTTGTTTATTTGGAGGCTGAGTCCTGTTACAACACCCATTTGCGCAATAAAGAATTTTTTGTATTGCGTCTTTGAAAGTAGTCGGATCCGATTAAAATGGCAACGCCGAGCCTTTCAAGATCAAGGTCATTTGAAAAGCTGCTTCTGGTCCAGTGTTAAACAAATGCAGCTTTGTGTCTGAAGCCGTATTGTGAACAAGGTGCAAGCTGGAGCGATTTTTAAATACATGTACAAACGTCACATTTGTTCCCATCAGTTAGGTCTATGAAACTGTTTCAGTCCAGTCTTTACGGTGTTACTGCTCTTGCTGTATATTTATGAGCATGATAAATAACCGTCTGGTTTTTAGGACGGTGCGTGAAGACCAAGAGAATTGTCATGCTGTGTCTCCGTGAAAGATATGCTTCAACAAATCGTCACGTTTCCTGAAACTGCTCTCCACAGCTTCTCACAACGCGCTCCAGTTCACATCCTGGAAGAGCAAGCGAAGCTAGCTCGTAGAATACCGGCCCAGACGGCGCTGCATTATGAAAAGTCTAACTACTCGGTAACCCAAACAGTATTCCAGTTTCTTGCACAGCAAGGCCTGTATAAAACGGAACCTTAGTTAGATGGAAACCTATCTTTATCGGAATCTCTGGCCTGCAACATAAGTTTATCACTAACAAACGGGAAACACGTAACGTGCGAACGGGAAGAAGAGAACAAAAATGTAACGGGCAACAGTCTGAACATTTGCTGTGTCATGTTCATATGATCCTGTTCTGTAGTGTGCTTTTTGGAATTTATCCGGAAAGAAAGATTCCTGTCAAGAATGAGAAGGAAATAAGCCCAGTCGTAAATAAAATTGTGCAAAATTCTTAACGAACAGCTGAAGAAATTGTAGATTCCACCAGTGCTTCGGTAACGGAACAATGCACGTGACTTGAGTCAGATGCGAGTATGAGTATGTACTCTGCAGTAATCTAGAAAATAGTACAGTGTGTATTAAGCAAATTCGGTCTTAACTGAAGAGAAGCAGAGGCATCTTTGCATTCTACTGCACATACAGTTCATTGGGTGTTTGCCGCCAATCAGTTCGTCTTGGCGCTAAGGCTTGTGGTCATAGCCATTATGTAACATCCTGTCTGACGAGAAGATGGTTTTGCCCCTTATGAATATCCTCGGCCTTTTGTCAAGTGCGCTTACCGCACACATAGCATGTTATTGAAAATTCTTCCTTATGCGACATATACGAGTACAAGTCCTCTATCAGTCAAGACATTGCAAAGCAGGTCATGCCTGTCTTACGTATCTTATGCTACAACGGCACCTTAGTCACTTGAACGGTCGTAAGCTTGACCACCGCCATGTTTCAGGCTCTTATATTTTAATAGTTCATTATACTCATGTGTATGTATATTCTGCTTTTGGGCAAGCACAATATTGCATATATTTTCGCCTACTGTTTTTCAGGGAACTAAGTGAGACTGAGGTGGATATGGTATAGTAACTTCATGGAGCTGGGCCCTTCTTGAGAAGCCGCCAATTGTGCAACTACTCAAGAATTTCCCCATATTTTGTGCAACCAGAAGATTCATTACCATGCTCACAAAAGCCCTCCACGGGTCCCTACCCTGAGCCAGATCAGTTCAGTCCATATTACACCATTCTATTTCTCTATGATCCATTTTAATATTATCCTTCCACATGTGTCTTTGTCGTCCTAATGGTCTCTTTCCTTCTGGCTTTCCCAGACGATATCCTATATGCATCCTTCTTCTCTCCCATTCGTGCTACATGCCCTGCCAATCTAATCTTCTGTGATTTGTTCATTTTAATTATACTTGGCGAAAAGTACAAGTTATGAAGCTCCTCATTATGCAGTTTTCTCCAACGTACCGTCACTTCATCTCTCTTCGGTCCAAATAATCTCCTCGGCACCCTGTTCTCAAACACTCTCGGTCTGTGGTCCTCTCTTAAGGTCAGAGACCAACTTTTATACCCACACAAAACCACAGGCAAAATTATGGTTTTGTATATTATAATTATTACATTTTCAAACAGCAGACGAGAAGACGAAAGTTTTTGGACTGAATGGTAGCAGAATATGATATACAACATGAACAATAATAACAAGGAACTGTAAAATTCTCCAACATTCGTAAAAAAGATTATCAAGTCTTATACAACGCACATTCAATTTCAGTACTCAGCAGGGAGAACTGAGATCAGACATCCGGTTTGAAGCAGGTCGTATAGCTCAGTTGGTATAGAGACAGGCTACGGGCTGGACAACTGGGGTTCGTTTCCCGACAGCGGCAAGAGATTTTTCTCTATTCCAGAGGATCCAGACCAGCTCTGGGGCCCATTCAGCGTCCTATCCAATGGGGGGTGGTCCCCAGGAATAAAGTCGCTGGGGCGTGAAGCTGACCACTCAGCTAAATTTATTGCCGTGGTTAAGAATGATGGAGATATGCTTCAGCTCCCCCATACGTCTTCATGGTCCTGTGTTTAATTAACGAAGCACAGGGCCAAATTTACTTTTCACGATTTTCTGATATATGTTTCAGGGTTGCTTCAACAAAGTGGTGGAGTTCTTGAACGGCAACATAGGATCGGTGGGCGGGTCAGCCTTGGGGGTAGCATTCTTCCCCCTGGTGGGTGTGATTCTGGCCTGCTGCCTGGCTAAGAACATCAACAAGGCCAAGTACGAGCAGATGGCATGAGAGCAGCTGGACGCAGAACAGGACCACAGTCTGCCCTCCTTAGATGACCTCTTCGCTCCTCCTCTACAATGATCAACTCGGAAAATGTCTACATCAAAGCGAGTGACTTTTCAATAATATTATAGTTTTTTTTGTCTTCTCCAGAATCGATACATATTAACATAACTCTGCTGCGCTTTGAATACTAAAAACAGCAACCAGTATGAATCTGTTAATCATTCTTAACCATTAAACCAACCCTAATTTGTCGGTTGGTAAACTGTATAGCTAGACAGTGGTTTTCAAAACGTGGTCCGCAGACCCGTATAGTCCGCGAAATTATTTTTTTCTTCCTAGTTTAAGTTAGAAAAAATATGTTATCGAATATTTGCAATATTTTGCTTTTTCTTTACTTGGAATAATGACGCAACAAATATTTTGGATTCGAAATTTCGTGTGGATATTAACGCTAGTTATATAAAGAAATGTCTGCCGTGTGGAGCGATTAGAGGCCGTTGAGTGTGCAGTATGTTGCTAGGGGTACGCGGACTCGAAAAGTTTGAGAACCACTGGATCAGAATAATTTTATCTCTTAATTTAACGCGAAAAACATCTCTGGGAAGCTCAGAAATCAAATATTTTATTGCCGGTCCTGGAACGGCAGTAAGACCCTTACAATCGCCATAAAGTTTAGTTTCTTTCGCAGTAGTGATCTTGTATCATGCCTAAATATGAACATACTTTAGCTTTGATGTCGTTTGTTGGAAACTGTTTCCAATCGTGGGATCTGGCAGACAACTTGAAGTATGAGGAAATAAAACCATACATTGTAATATCTTGAATTCGCACTCTTTATAAGGTTACAGACGGAGCAATTGATTGGTTCTGTAGAATTAAAAGTGTTACAGAGTTTCCGCTCTACAAACTGATTCTATTTAAAGATGGCGTCCTGGATCAGGTGACCCCTCGATCTCTGTACATATTCAAGTTCTCGCAACTTAATAAAGCAAGTCCTTCAGTGATGTTTCACAATTACTATTCGTTCATGTCAGACGGGTCTTGATTCTAAATGTGAAAGCAAACTCTTAGGCAGAATATAGACTAGGCCTAATATTTCTCTGTATTCATTTATCAGTAATCTGTCAGACGACAGGGACACAGTCTCTTCCAAAACAGTTCCTCCACTTAATGCGATCTCAAACTTCTCCTTCAATTAAAATATCCACTTCTGTCTTACGTCTTCTTCCTCGTCTTCTGGGCACGTCTATCCGCCCTCCGGTTTCTTTTGTCATGGTATCTCTGTTTTTGGAAAGAGACTATCCAGGAAAAGTGATAATATGGTAGTTTTTCCATTTGCTTTCCACATCGCAGTACAGCAGCCGTTCAAACCACTCCGGTCACGCCTGTTGCTATACGAACTTGAACCATCTCGAGCATCATTTGCTCTGTGCTTCAAGTCGCTGCTGATGACGCTGCTTCCGGCATCAGTTTTTGATGTCTCTCTTCGTCTGATGCCTACCCTTTGACCTGTCCAGCAAGGGAGGCCCTGCCAGTAGCTACGCTACCGCTGGTATAGCTCTCAGGGTCCTTGGCATACTCAAACCCCCTCACCACGATAAGGTGGAGACACCAACGAGGGGGTCTCTGTATTACTGGAACATTAATTCATCTTCTCTGTTTGGTCAAGGTCAGCTGCTTACAACCACTTTATCCCTTACTGTACAGATGAGCACTATACCAGAAGATGCCATCATGTTTCCAGCAACTCCAAGTGCTGTATGAATTCCACCGCCTTAGGAATATATGTCTCTATATTATGGACAAACATTCTATTCCAAAGTCACTTTTAAAACCTCGCTGTTGTGCAAATGTAATTCAAAATATAATTCTTACGCGATAAATACTATTGATAAAAATATCTCATTGTTTGGCAATGACACGTGTACGAGTATTTATTTCACTTAATCGTTTCATGTAACTTACACGAATACGTATCTTACCTAGCTTCATCCTAGTAACTTTGTAGCTTAGGTAACCTAAAACATGGTGTCAATATATATTGGCCAATCCTGCAGGCTGTGTGACATACCACAGTCATGCACACAGCCTGGCAAAACTAATGCAGGTGATTCTGACCTCAGTGGCGGCTCGTAGTTACTGAACCTGATGAAATTTTATTTTGATGACTCTTTTCTCTCGAAGAATGTAACATCCTCTGAAGGCAACTACGGGCGAATTCTACGATGCAGACAATAAAGATAACAAAATTTGACTTATTTTTCTCTCTTCTTTTGCTAAGTTTCTTGTATGTATGTATTACCCAGTGACAAAGAAAGCACAGGTAAGAATCTTTCTTTTTAAATCTGTCTCAAAATCTATTTCCCAAATAAGTTTTCGACATTGATGAGCCATGCATGATATGTATACAGTTGCCGTCTTGTAGTGCACTCAACTTCACCTGTTACTTCACGACATGTTTCGGCAGCATAGTGCCATCATCAGGTGCCCTAATTACGCTAATCCATTGCACTGCTTGCCTTTATAAAATTATTTAAATAGTGTTTAAAAAGTGCGTATTTGTCAACTATAATAAATTTACACAAACTAAAACTTGTTAAGATTATTCAACTNGATGAGCTATATTAGCTGCATGTGACTGGCCTGAAGCAAGAGGTAACGCTGTCCCAGAGGACTGAGTAGCCCCAGAACAGAGCAGCGTGACATTTCCACCACGTCACATCAGTTTAACAAAATAACCTGCATATACCTTCCACTAGTTGCCCATACTATTTCTACAGTTGTCGAACAGATTGGGGTCAGTGAGCCCCCAGAATTTACATCTCTGAATTGTAGGAGGCACATGAACAGGTACAGAATATGAATAGGGGGATTTGCAAAGAAGAGCCGTCATTGGAGGAAATCATTCTCTAAATTCACGATAAATTATAACAAAAATGCATACGCACAGTAGTGCCACTGCAGTAGCAATTATATGTGATAATATTAAAAGCGTTTTGTACAAGTAACTACCCCTTATGAAAAATAGACAGTATTTTTATAGGACTGGTTACGCCCTGATTATTATGTTGATGTTAGCCTAAAAACTGAATATTAAGAAGCATCTTATATAATATTACTCATTCAAACTTTATTACACACTACTTGAATGTTAATGGTGTACTGGACAGAGCTGTAGTGCATGTCCTGTCATTTAATATCACATCTGTTAAAGCTTGTCAGAGTGTTAATGAGAAGTCTTTTGACGAAACTGGGATCTCGCCTCAAGCATGTGCTGTGGGTATAGCAAGCAATCAACAGTTTTTCTTTAACTGTTTCAATCAATTTAAAATATTAAGCGCTACATAAATAAACTTTGTAATGTTAATAGTGGTATAATACTAATCTTCATATGAGCCTTTATGTAGGCAGTGTAATTCAAGTTATAGGACGATATGCATATTCTGTGAACTGCTTTAGATCCCTTTAGCATAAATGTGACGTGAATTCGTGTTTGCGGGTATAGCCTACTATTCAAGAATTAATACAGAATATTATATTTAAATAAGTAAATAAGCTTTAAATTTGAACACTACTCTCTTCTCGCATGAGGAGACATGCAGTTTGGTACATGGGTACAAATGTTTCGAAGTAATATGCTACATCCATCTTCAGGACAAAAGAATAAGCAGAAGACCATGATGTGTAGACACAGAAGCATGGTCCACGCTGGGAGCCTTGGTTTCTCAAATGTGCGTCCAGTTCGGGGTTGTACTCACTGTAGATGCTGCTGCAACACTAGTTGAGTCATTCGAAGGTTGTCCGTAGCTGCTTGTGATCTGCTTTGGTATCGCATTGAGTTCGTGCATGCTGCTATTATCAGCTGCCGCGTTGACTAATGCGTTCTATGCTTCTGTGGATGCTCTCTCGGTTTCTTCACTCGACTTTCTGTTGTGCAAAGTCTCTCTTCCGGCCACAGATAGTCCGGAGTGATCTGTCATGTTGTTACTGACTCTGCATAGATGAGTTCTCATGTTCATATTTAGTACGTACTGTTCTTCAAGCTCGCTTCAAGAAGCATGTCCGAACAAGCTCTAGAAGCTTGTGACGACAGTGCATCAGTGCAAACAAAGTTTCTGGACATTATCCATTGTCCTGTTTACATTTGAAAACATGAAGTTTCGGAGACTGCATTCTGCCTCCGCATTTGTTGCATGCCCAAATATGTTGCAACCGCGGACGATGGCATTTCCTGTTCACAGTTTCTCGGCCTATTTCTGGTATCCGCTTCAATTTTCCCTTGCAACTACTGCTGCAGTACTCTTATCTGGGCAGATTTTCATCTTCCATTTGCATTGCATATCTTCGTGGTCAGACGTCTCTCCATATATCATTTGACCCTAAAGAAAATTCATGAGCAATTCCTGAGGGAAACTACTTCGCTCACGAATTAAAGATATGTTATTTTATGGATTCCATCTGCCCAAATCTGCAAAATCTTCCTGTTTAATGTCATGTTACACTGTAATGTTAGTTCGGCACTAAGCTTATTCACACTATGTTTTGGAGAAAATTGCGAGGATGGGAAGGAAACGTGCATTTCAAATCCTTAAAAATAAATATCCTGAAATATTTTTAACGTAATTTCTCCTGTTTTGGCAAATATCCAGTTTCTCATATTATAAAACATTACATTCTACAACCTAACATATTTTACGAAATACTATATTTTAAACTCTACAATTTTTAATACGTTTCACTAGAATAATCTGATAATATACAATGTATTTCCATGTGTCAAGTTTCTGTAAGAAATGTTTTGCTGCTCGTCAAATTATAAGAGTGTTCCATGTTTCATTCTTAGCCATGTGTAAATAGACTTTAAGTGTGTATATTCACAAAGAAGCAATTATCTTGTACTTATGGTTTGACGTCTGTGGCCTGTTACTGTGTCGTCCGTATGGTGCACGCGTCGTGCCGCTGGAACGTAAGGGGGCAATGTCTGGGCAGGCTTTTTGTTCACCTGTTTAATGGACTGAAAATACGTATATGGATAAAAACGTTGCACGACCTCAAGAATTTTGCAGTCTACTTCTGGGCACGAGTTACCACAGATTTCTGCTCGGCTTAGAAAAAAAGAGAAAAGGTAAGAATCACTTCCACTTGACACACAACTGGCATCAAGTGCTACAAACCAGACAGGAATAATGACCACAGAATTGCAACCCTTGCCTATATTAAATTTCACACTTGTACGATGCAATTAGGCGTTG